AAGCCTCTAAAACACCTTTTTTCTCCCCCATCCTTCCCACCAACAGCGCAGGGAGACAGGGCCGGGGGGGTTTGGTCAGTTTGTCACCAGAGAACTTTTTCTGTTCACTCAGGGAGAGAAGTCTTTCCTCTGCTATGCCATCGGTTCCCTCCCACTGATGCCTTGAGAGGCTATGTAGAACAGAGGCTAGACAGTGTTAAAGGAAGAAGGTGGGTATTTATTAAAAAGGCCTTCAAAGGATACACCTTGGACAGTACAAGAGCCTCCCCAAAGGCTACACCCAAGATGGACAATGGATCACACGTTTTCACACTTTTGTACATTTTGGTCCACTTACATATTGGGGTTAATTGTCCAGTTACAGTTTCAAGTTAAGAAGTCCCATCCTCCTAGGTTGCTCTCCTCAATTTGCTGTTGTTTGTACTTTTTAGGCCTGAAGGTGCAATAGTGTCTTTGGTTCTCAGGCTGGAAAATGATTGTTTTGTCTAACTAAACTGTGAGGAGAATTTGTTAACACATTATATGAAGTTCAGAGTTATATACTAATGCGGTACAGAATCTGGAAAATATGAAAGCTAAAACTTAAGGCATTACTGTGGGAGACAGTTTGTGAACTTCTCCAACATGGTTTCAATCTCACAAACAGCAATCTTCCCAAAACTGTTGCAACATGAGTCCCTCCCACAGACAAAGAGTCTTTTCCAAACTATTGTGGCGTGGGTCACACGTCCACAGGGTGCAGTCCTCTAAGGATAGGCTGCTCTAGTTTGGAAGCAAGGGCCCTCTCTCTCTATTTGAGTCTCCCACTGGATCACAACTTTCTCTGGCCTCCGCCCGCTCTGGTGTGAGCGTTTTTCTCATGGGCTGAGTGGATTTCTGCATCCCCCATGGACCTGATGGGACGCAGAACAGCCTGTGTCACCATGGTCCTCACCAGGGCCTGCTGTGGAATCTCAGCTCTAGCACTGGGAGCAGCTCCTCCCCTTCTTTTCCCACTGACCTTGGTGCCACCATGTTGTTTTGCCTCACATGTCCTCACTTCCTCATCTTCTCTGACTAGAAGAAAAACTGCTGCCCGTAGGTACCATTGCCAACAAGTTCTACCAGTTCAAAGATTCCTGCAGGATCCTGCAGTGCCAAGAGGTCGATCTCGCATAGGTTCTGTGCCAGAGAGTTCCTCACTGTGTTTTCACTGCCAGCCAGGCGGCCCTGCCACCCGCCACAGCGCTGGTGCCATTTAACGTCTCCCTTTGTGCCCTTGTGTCTGCAGCACAGCCGGCTTGGGGTGACCAGCACGCAAGGCTCGCTGAGATGGCCCCAGCAGCAGACTTCACCATCCCAGGGAAAAAAATACGCAGCCGTGTTTTGATTTTCTTCTTAAATATGTCCTCACAGAGGCATTACCAGCCTCTCTCATTGGGCCAGCAGCATATCCATCTTCAGAGCCATCAGAGATTGGCTGTCTTGGACATAGTGGAAGCTTCTAGCAGGATCTCAGAGAAGCCACTTCAGTGGCCCCCCCACTACCAGAAATCAGTCTATGCCAAATCAACACAAACTATAAATGTGACTAGTAACACTTCTGGGTATATAGAAATGATAAAAGTTTATGTTTTGAGTGAAACACAAAATGACTTATCAGGCTCCAAAACAAGCTGCATTTTTTCTGGTTTTACTTCAACCAAAAAATCCTCATCAAAACACCTTAAATACAGCTTCAGCTGTTTGTAATGTTCATTAAGTTCTCTTTAGAGCAGGATACAATAAGTATCTTCTACTAATGTGGTCTCCAACAGCCACCAGATCCAGGAATCTAAAAACTATCAGCTCAAGCATTCAATGACATGTCAGCTTCTGGATGAAAGCTGACACAGGGACAGACATTACTGCAAAGCTAATCAAACCCTAAAGCTCAAATTTTTAAGGATTTTAAACTTACAATCAAAACTTTGTGCTGCCCTTGGAAACCTGAAGGAACCATGAAACTAACTATTAGTTACATAAACTGCAGGTGCAACACAGACAAACAAAAAGCTACCTTTACATTACGTGACATTCCAAATTAGTCTTTAAGCACATTATAAGATTATGAGCAGCTGTCCAGACAAACACAAAGTGAACTGCAGTGAGGCCAGAGTCACAAATACCCAAATTAGCCATAGCTAATTGTGAAAAAAGGGGAAAATAATGGAAATACGTAACATTACATAAAAGCTACTATAGGGATCTGGATACTGTCTCGTTCTTTATCTCCGAGAGTGCTCACAGCAAGACACCATAGAAGAAAATCCAGCAGTCTTGACAATTATGGAACAAATTCTTCATATGGGAATTTTCTTCCTGGTCCTCATCTGTGAGAAGGTGAGTTCCTAAGACCCAATTATGGAAAAGAAAATTATAGTAAAAAAAACCAAAATCCTGTAAGCAAAATACTAAGGTAGGAAAAAGTATAAATGTTACACTTCCCATTACCCACATAAAAGTTATTTCACTCTTTGCCTCAAAATTATCTAATGACACTAGGTGTCACATCTGATAGCACCACAGAAACAAATGTTCATTTAAAAATAATTTTAAATGCATTGTCTTTGTCTATCATTTGCCTGCCATTTACTGAAATGGGAAAGTAAGATTTTTACAGTATCTGTGTGAGTTCTTATTTTGAACTCATCAGTTGTGTTGCTCTTCCTCCTCCCATCCCTTTGATAAACAAGATCATCTTTTAGTCTCCTAGCACACAGATGTCCTTTCCCTAAGTATTTTCATCCATTTTTAGAAATCTGGTTTGTCTGGCTGGACTTTCAAGCCTTCCCAGCCCAGGGAAGAAAAGCTAATTGGGGTCTAATTAAAATACTATGGAGTGCCTAGCAGAGGACTTCCTCCTCCCCAATGCCTGCATAGGGAGGCAGGAAAGCAGGCACCCCTGCTTTCCTGCCATGGCAAATCTTTCTATTTCCCAGGCACCAGGCTCAAAGCCTCACAGCACAAAGTGTGGCATGAATAAACTCTCTTAGCTCAACTTTGGTCAAAACATGTCTGAAGAGTCATTCTGTCATGGCAGATTTGATGCAGCCCAGGCATTACCTCCCCTGCTTCAGCTGAGCCGAAGCTCCCAGAGTCCCAGAGCCTGACTGCTGTGCCAGTATGGGGACAGACAGACAGCTCTGCTCCAAACCTGGGCCATTCTTGAGCCTCCCAGGGCTGCCACAGCACTGGGACAGCCTACACGTGTGCAGTGCCATGGGCCAGCCACCTGAAACGGGTAACTCCAGAATGGTCCAAATCTGAACATGCATTTGGGGCAAGGACTTCTCCATGCTTCACAAAAAGGATATTATAATAGATTTAGTAATACTCCTCATCTTCTGTGCATTTTAATGCAATTCATTTTTTTAGTTTTCAATGCATTTCTCCAGCATTGCAAGGCAGCTCAGGGAGAATTTCTGCCTGGTGTGTTTCCAAAGTAGCCATCCTTGTTTTAGAACATACCAGCTGTTTTCTGAGGAATAAAATTTCCCTTATGCACTACATTGCATTTTTGAGCACTAAATTTAATTTGAAACTGAACAAATTTTACTTGCAAATCAAGTATAGTCACTTTCTTAGTTTTCTTCTAGTTCCTCACAGGCTGCTCTTGGTTTTACTAAGCAATTTTGTATCACAAATTCCTGTGGGCTCACCAATTTTTCCAGCTCTTCCCAAGTATGAAGACAGCAAAGCTATTTCAGTAACAAAACTCATTTGTGCTTGCTATGATTAACATATTAACATGTGATTACTTTCCTCCATTTTTACAAAGCTGTGACTAATGTGCAGTAATTTTTAATGGTAATGCTTTGAGAAAAGGACATTTGAAATTCTGAGTTAACAGATCCCAATAACTCCCGGGCTTGTCTTAGCACTTCCATTAACCTAATGTAATGTTAACCCTGCCGATATTACAATGCTTTCTTTTGCAGTGCAGATGGCTAGCGAGGGATGAGTACACACTTTGGTTTTCCTCTCTTTTTCTAATTTGCCCCCTCCCGCCGAAATAAGAGTCCCATCCTATATCAGGACGGGCTGCTATTTCATAACACCTTAGTCTATGCATCTACGGAAGGCAAACGGAAAAGCGAACACTGCGGTTGCCTCTGTAACTGACCACCAGATGGATCAAGAGACAAACCTCTCGCTACGAAATCCTGCCCTCTCCTGGGAGGCAGATTCCAGACGAGAGCCCCGGGATACAATTGAGCGTTTACACTTCAGGGCTCCCCTTGCCAAGGCTGTCCCGGCGCTCGCCCCGCCGGCGGCTCCTCAGCAGGAGGGGGACATGGAGCTCCTGGAGCGGGTCCAGCAAAGGGCTACAAAGGTGGTGAAGGGACAAGAGCATCTCTCTTAGGAGAAAAGGCTGAGGGAGCTGGACCTATTTAGCCTCAAGAAGATACTTGAGAGGGGACCTCATTAATGTGTTTAAATATCTGAGACGGGGGTGCCAAGAAGATGAATCCAGGCTCTTCTCAGTGGTTCCAAGCAATAGGAAAAGAGGCAATGGACAGAAACTGATGCACAGGAAGTTTCTCCTGAATACGAGCAAGAACTTCTTTCCTGTGCAGGTGACCGAGCACTGGAACTCATTGTCCAGAGAGGGTGTGGAGTCTCCCTTAACTGGAGATATTCAAGAACCGTCTGGACACAATCCTCTGTCATGTGCTCTAAGACGACCCTGCTTAATGAGGGAGGTTGGACCAGACGACCCACTGCGGCCCTTCCAACCTGTCCCATTTTGTGATTCTGTGTCTCCCCTCCACAGCCACTGGGCCATCCGAAGCCCTGCAGTAAAACTCCGCTGCCGTCCCCTTCCTCCCGCCGGGTCCCCGCTCTGCGGCCCCGCCGGGGCAGCTCAGGGCGGAGCGGGGCGGGCGCTGGCAGCGAGGGGCCGGCCCGGCGCGGAGGCGCGCGGCCCCGGCAGGCGGCGCTGTGTGGCCGCCGCCATCGCCGCTCCCGCCGCTCCCGCAGCTCCGCGGCCGAGAGGGGCCGAGAGGGGCCGCGGCTTCCCGGGCGCGGGGAAGGGCCCTGGGCTGGGCCAAGGCGGCGGCGGGCGGCGGCGCGGGGTCACGGTGGCGCCATGGGGAAGCGGGATAACCGTGTGGTGAGTAACGCGGCAACCCGGCTGGGCTCCGCCGCAGCCGCGGTACCTCCGGGCGGGCCCCGGCGTGGAGGCCGTGGGGAGCCGGGCGCTGCCTCGGCCCGGGCGGGCCCGTCCGGCCGCCGCCGCGCTCCGATCGTCGGGAGGGGCAGAAGGGGCCGCCGCGGGGGACAGGAGCGGCCCGGTGCCGGCGGGGCAGCCCGCGGCGGGCCGGAAGCTGCCGGGGGCCGGCTGGGTACGCGGCGCCGGGACCGGGGTCCGGCCGCGCTTGGGGCGACAAAGGCGGGCCGTGCCCTGCGCCTCGCCCCGCCCGGCCCGGGGCGCCCCGAGGTCTGCCGGAGCCCCATGCGGGTGGGTTGTCCCTCCCTCGGCACGTGCTCGAGGCTCCCTGGCAGAAGCTCTGATTGCCTTGTCAAATCCTGCAGCATCGTGACTGACGCCTGCTTTGTGATCTGTCGAGGGAAGGTGATTAAGATGCTGGCCTGGTCCGTACAAAAATAAAATGTTCCCAATGGGAGTTGCAGCAGTCACTGAAGTAGCTCTGATCCTAGCTAAGTCGCATTTCCTTAAACTTGGCGTTGAGCTGTACCTGAGAGATCTGAAATAGAGCTTTACACAGCCCTCTGCTGCCTCGGGAGCCAGCGTTCAGCAGGCAAAAAATGCGCTTCTACACACCTGACTGCAGAGCCTCAGTTCATACATAATCGAAACATATTCATCCTTCTATTTTTCTTGAAATGTTTTTGTACCAGTTAGCCTTTCACCTATTCGTAACCACTTACACATTGTAAGTTTGCTGCTGAATTTTAAGACTAAACACAAATCATAATACTTTTAATTTTTTCCCTTTCTCTGTTTCTTTCTTGTATATGCTATGAGTTTGTACTCAGATCCATTCACATCTTTGCAAACCTTGGTGGAATAGTATAGTAATAGACATGAAGGACTCAGATATTGTATAGATACATGGCAAAGTCCCTTTTATGGCTTTGTTGACCTATCAAAAAAATGGAGTCTGCTAAGAAAGAGCTGACAGTGTATTGCGCTTCAAGAGTGGATCTATGGTTGAAATGTCCTGTAATGTTGTCAGGTGTGTATTTATTTACTCTTAATTTTCTTTTAATGGGACACCTGGGATATACCAATGCCAGCAAATCTTTATGTTCCTATATAAGGTTTATTATGCCATCATGGCATAATACATACTACAGACAAGTTATAATATAGGACCCTTTGCTCCTCATGTATGATCATAGAGATTTCTGCTGTTATTCTCTGCCATGTCCCTTCTTAAATACACCATCATTTTTTACTTTCTGGAGATGGAAAATAAACATGCTTTTTGCACATCTACAGGGTACTTGCAAGACAGCAATAGTACTGCTTGCCCAGAGAACCCTGCCTGACTTACATTTCCCATGAGCAAGGAAGCTATGCAGCAAATACCTTGGTTAATACCTGCTCGAGCAAACTACCAAAAGACGAAAATTGATGTACAGACAATCACTTTCTTTATTGAGGGTGCATTTCCATGCTCCTTCTGACTAGTGACATGCAGTTTGGCAAAGTAGTGTAAATACTTTTCAGAAATGTCTATTGGTGAAGTAATTCTTCATAAACAAACCTGATTGAAATTATAAGAACATGTCTTAAGACATAAATTTCCTAATCCTGGAATATAGAGCAGTACACAGTCATTAAGTACTTGCTGTGGTAAAGTTAAAGAAAGCCAATGAAAGGAGGATGCTTCCTAGCCAGTTATCCAGGGGCAGTTTGAGCAAGTAGAAAATCAGCATTTGACAGTTGTAGCCTCTTCTGCAGGTAAAGAGTTTTGTTGGGAAGTGGTGAGGTATTCATGACTTGTTAGCTCAGGTAGGAAAGTAGCTTATTTTTATTTAAGAGCAGCAAGAGACCTCATTTTTTTGGAAAATAATTGCATAAGAAGAGCTCTCAGATACAAATTTTTGAATGGTAACCAAAAGTCAGTGTGCTCACTGGAGTAAACTAAGTTTCAAGTGGATTTAATGCATTGAAACTTTCATTTTCTTTAGTGAACAGTGTTCAGAGAGTGCTGTCCTGCATTCCTAAAGGAGCTCCTTTTCCACTCAAAGCTGAACTCAATTATTCATTTTTAGATTTGTCGTGCAAATGCTTTTCTAAGTGTTGTAACTACTTGAGTGCATACTTCCATCTGCTACTTGTTTCAATTGGCACACCTCCTTGTTGATTTGCCATGTTAGTTAGCCTTTTTGTGTGAATTAAAGCAACAAAGCAAAGGCCCAAGAAATGGCAGTAAATGTCTCCTTAGAGTTGCAAAGTCAAGTTGAGTCTCAAAATGCTCTGCTTGAAATTCGGAGTCCTTGGATTGCTTCAGAGTGGTCCAGCTGGTGGATCTGAGCTAAATTTATGTGGGCAGTGCTTCCTTCCAGCCAGATGCCTCATCCCAGGCAGAGCCTGGAGTGCCTCTTCCAGGACCAAACACGTCCCCAAGAGCTGAAGGCCAGCAGCCTGCTTGCAGTCCAGTCCAGAAACTCAGCATTGCTGTGGTCACTGCTGCTGCAGTGGGAGCAGCAGGAGGGGAGGCAGCAGCTGCTGCTTCTGACAGCTTCCACAAATGCTCACTTGGGGTGCATGGTGGCTTCTGAATGCCTGATAAAAAGCAGTGTTGGACATGTGAGAGCTACACAGATGGCCAAATCTTTGCTTTGGATCTACAAAATGTACTCTTTAAAAATTTGTCTCAGGTTGGGCAACCAAAGCAAGTCTTTTTTTTTTGGCTATTTGATCTTTTTCCTCGTCTCCAAACTGAACAGTAATAACAGTGTGTGTTATGTTCTGCAGAAGTAAAGTGTTGGGATGACATAGTGGTAAAAATAAATGAGATAAGGGGGTATATGTACCTCCTTTTCACATGAAAACAATATTGCTGACATAAAAAAATATGGAAGTTTTTCCATTAACTGGTGAGGTAGACTATGAATTCTAAATTTTAATTTAATCTTTTGTAACACAGAGAGGATGCATAGGTTTGAAAGATGGAATACCTCATAACATTGGGATTATGTATGTTTGGGTTTTTTGAGTTTTTTCCTCCTTTAAATAACCATACCTCACAGAATTTTGATACATGTATAATTGTATCAAAGTACCACTGCTTGCTTGTTTTGGTGCAAGAAATTTCATGCAGAATTTAGTGACTCCCATCAGCAATTTTGAACAAAACTTTAAAGGCATAAGATCAGTTGTCTCAGAGAGGGAGAGCTGAAATTTAATTACATTTTCTATATCCTAAGGAAGAGTATTTCAGAAAACATGATACTATTCTTGTTTACAAAATCATTGCTTAAGGAAGGGAATTGTTGGAAGGAACATGGAGTTTTTGGGGATCAGTTCTTTCTGCCACAGTATGACTCCAACTGAAAGCACTTACCTAAGTCTTTCTGCCAGACTGAATAAACTTAGTTTAGCTAAATCTTTTATATTCTTAGAAACAAGTCAGAATTCTTTTTCAAGGAGTGATAGAAAGTTTATGTGAAGAACAAGGTATTTTGGTATCATAGTGTAACTGATGAATTTGGTATTTCTTCTTGTTGTTTCATATTCAAGGCTTATATGAATCCCATAGCTATGGCCAGGGCACGAGGTCCTGCCCCAAATTCAGGACCAACAATACAAGACTACTTGAACAGGCCAAGACCAACATGGTAAGTAGGACTGCCTGTCTACCTTTTTGACCTCTTCAGTAAAAGATTTGTTCCTTCTTACTGGTGCCTACATCTTTCCCAGAATATCCAGTAATAGATTTTAAAAGATTTCTTGTGCTGGCCAAGCTATTTTTTTTCTAAAAATGTATTAAATCTCCTCTTTTAAAAACAATAAAATATCATTTTGAAATGTATATTTCTCATTTGTCTATATTTTTTGTCTATATTTTTGTCTATATTTTTTCTCAGAAGAGGAAAATGTCATTTTACCTCTTGCTCAAATTGTAATACCTAAACCTTGTATATATATTTAATTTGTAAACAAATTAATCTCTAAAAGAACCATTTTGCAGGTATATTCTTATCTATCTATAATCCAGTCTACCCTACCCAACAAAACCATCACTTTGAGATATTATCAACTTACTTTATGTTCAATCCCTTTGCCTGCCCTCATGAGACATTAGAGAACAATTTACCTAATTGCAAAGTTAGCTTTAGATCTTTTGGAGGGATTTAACAACCGTACTTAAGTTATTAGGGTTAGGTTACCATATGTGTAACATCTAAGATGCTTTCATTCTTCTCTTGGAAGTTCAACCAAGGCTAAACTTCAAAAAAAACTACAGAAAAGTTAGACATTTTAAAAGGTATTACTAATTGTAAAATTAAAAATTTATTTTTAAATTAAAAATCGTGATCATCATCTTTTTCATACAGGGAAGAAGTGAAAGAGCAACTAGAAAAGAAAAAGAAAGGATCCAGGGCTTTGGCTGAGTTTGAAGAAAAGATGAATGAGGTTGGTAATATTATTAGCTATTAATACATGATTCTTTTTATCTAACATGCTACTTCTGTTATTATTTACAATATCAAGTAGCCATAATATTTCACTTCTCTTGAGCTTCTAATGAGTAACTATTTTGTTTCATTTATGTTGGAAATTGCGTTTACAACTTAACCAGTGAAGAGCTACTATCACTTCAGAGAAAAAACTATATAAAACATTTTTTAGATTGCTGGTGAATAAAACCTGACCTTGTCCCGAATGTAAATATATTTATACAAATGCGTGTGCTTATATCAATAAATTAAACAGTGTATTTTCAGGTATGATAAGCCAAAGTCTGTCTTGCTAATATTCACTTGTTTAAGGTCACAGAATCCAAATACAGTGAAAAAAAGCGCATTACTGGAAACAGATGTCTTTGGCAAGGAATATACATATAATATTATTATGGGAGAAGGCACAAAGAATGGCTTTCAGTCAGATAGGACTATGAAGCACTTGTTTTTCTCTCATCCTAAGCTGATTACAACATGTGCTGGTTTCCTGATATAAATGCAGCTGTTCTGATGTTTGTGTTATTTACCTACTGAAGATCAGCACAGTATAGAAAGTTTCACATGTAACTCCTGTTGTATACAAGGGAGAAATTAGTATACAATGAATTAATTTTGTTTCTGTTCCTTCTTGGGTCCTGGTATCTTGAGATAAGCTTCAGTAATCTTCTTCATCATTGTGTGTAAGTTTCTGGTTGAAGTAGATTACACTCCTCCTCTGTTACTGGAAGGGCATAGTACCCGTAGTACTTGTTGTACCTTTTTGCCTGAGAAGTTGTACCAGGATGTGGAGGGCTGTGGGGTGCTGTTCTGGGAGGATCAGTTGTTTTGCACTCTGAGTTCTAGCTCAGTGAGTTTGGTTTAGTATTCTATAATATTCCTTTCCTGATTTTATCTTTGCTTAATGTGAAATGAGTGAAACTGGCATGCAGAGAAGCTACCAGACTTTGAGTAAGGGATGCACAGAATCATGAAATGGCCATGAGTTATTCCTGAAGCTTGTAAGAACAAATCTCTGAATGCCTGAAAAGATCACAAGTCTCTGAATGAGCTGCTGTTTCCCTATTTGGGGAGAGCTGTCTGACAGCTGTCAGACATTTCTGTTTAGAACATAACACTAGCGCAGTCTTTAAAATGATGAAGCACAGGCTGTTGTGAGAGCCCCCTCAGAGAGCTCTGGGTACCTGGTATATCAAAGTACACAACCCACAGATGCTGCCTTGGTCCATGGAAGCACATTACACACAGCACTGCTCCCTGGCTCATCTGCCAGCCCCTCAGCAGCTCTGTTCAGCTAATTCACAGTGTGCTGATGTGGGGATCTATGTATCATCCTGCATTGCACAAGTTACTTGACTCCTGATATTTCTGTCCCCTCAGCACAACATGTGGATCATCGTTGTTTTGCCACTACAGTACCAATACAGCTGTATTGTGAGGATCAGAATAATAAAGAAGGGAGCACATGATGTGTCTGACAGTGAGATTGAACCTAGCAGCCTTTGAATTTCATGGGGGCAATTTGGATATTTCAGAGCTCTTTAAGAGGGGACGTTTTAGGTAAACCTAGAGACCAGGTGGGGAACTGAAAAGAGGAGAAATGAGAGGAGATTTTTATTCATTCATTTGGTGTGCTTGGCCTAACAAATAAGAGTGTTTCTATGAAGATGTGTATAGTAATTTGATAAAATTATTGCTGACACCAACAAGGCCCAGAATACACACTAGAGACACCCATACGTTAAAGAAGGGCCAGGAGAAGTTGTCATGAAGTTTTGTTTCAGGTGATTTTTAGAACTAATACAAAATCATAGATTTTCTGGTAGGGTACCCTGGTTTTCTAAAGTGCTCTAACAAGAAGACTGTGATACAAAAGAAAAAATTCCATAATTGATGACCTTCAAGATAAATGGCAATCTCTTAAAGCCAAATAACTTGAACATTGTGTTAACATTAACACTGTATTTTGCTAAATAATAATCTTCTGTAAAATCAAGTGTATTACAGCTTTAGTTTACATTATATATTGTTTTGGGTTTTTTTTTTTGTTAAAATACGGGTTTTGTTAAAATTATAATGTCAGGTAGAGGAGAGCTTAAAAAATACTGCTCAAGAATGACCCTCCCGTTACTGTTTCTGTTTGGTTTTGTTTTCAGAATTGGAGGAAAGAACTGGAAAAACACAGGGAGAAATTACTGGGTGGAAATGAGAGCTCTTCCAAAAAAAAAGAGGTAAGTTGTTTTCAGTTGTATACATTCTGTGTTTGGGACTGGATTTATCACCAATGCTGCCGATTGAATTCACAGAATTGAATTGCCAATTGAAATTCACAGAATTTCATAAATACATTTTAAAAGCCAGCATCAAAGTTCATAAACCTAAATACATGAAAAAATAAAAATATGCTAAAGTAACATTTGTTTTGTTCTATTTTTAAGAAAAAGAAAAAGGAAAAGAAGAAGTCTAATAGGGTGAGCAAAATTTTCAGTTTTCTGAGCTTTTTTGCTTTGGGGTTGTTCCTGTATGTCATTTAAGTTTTCCTGGAAAGAGAAAGTATAGCTGTAATTTTTATTTTAGATGATAAATTAACTTTTATTAAAAAGGGTTTGCATATATTTGGTACAAGGAAAATTAAAGGGAGAAAAAGGGCTTTAAATAGATATTATTAAAAGAAAAACATTAGAAATGGTTTAGAAGTTTATTTAAGAAAAATCTATGTAAGACCAGCTTCCCAGAAGTAAAATTGTATTGGTTATGCTTTTAAAATGAAGACATTTTAAAAGGAGTGTTTGAATAGGCTTTTGAGTATTTGCCAGACAAAATGCTGCATCTCACAAGCTTCACTTTTTGTTGTATTTGGTCAAGTTGTCTTCATCTTCCTCTTCTTCATCAAGCTCTGATTCTTCCAGCAGTTCATCTGATTCAGAAGATGAGGTAAGAGCTAACCTACTGGAATCTATCATGTGTTGTTCATGAGGTTTATTTAACATAGATTTTGATAATATGTTTTAGAATGTTTTGAGGGGCTGGTTTGGATAAAACCATTTAGTTTTTATGAATTTGGTATATATAATAAAGTAATGAATTTTAGACATATGTATCTGGTTAATAGTTTCTGTATGAACACTACAGATTTTTGCATCCTGGCTTGTAAACTGGATCCATTTTAACACTGAATTGCTTTTCTAATAAAATCCCCTATCTAATCAATAAAATGCAAAAATACCATTTTTACTTTCTAGCAAAAATCTTTGTTACAGATAATCAGATTCTGCAGCATACATCTCAATAATAAACAGAATCTAGAAAACCTGGATTTTTCACTAGTTTACATTTATTCAATGCAGAAGAGTTATTAAGGTCCTCCACTAAAAGAATCAATTGTAGTGTGCTTTATTCCTCAGGAGAACATTGTAACATGTAGGAATTTGATGTTCCTTTTCTTTACATTTAGTGTAAACCTTTAATTCTAGTGAGAATAAATTCAACTTTGTGTTTTTCCTTCTTTTTTTACAATATTTATGGATAGGATAAAAAGCAAGGGAAGAAAAAAAGGAAGAAGAAGTATCGCTCCTCACGGAAATCTTCAGCAAGCACAACTTCAGAATCTGAGTCAGACAGCAAGGTAAATATGCAGATGTGTTGCTCTTGGAAAGTTTTCTTGGTTGGTGTTATAAAACCATAAAGATTTCTGACTTTAACATATTGATATGGATTTTCATCTTCCACGTTTATAAGCCATGTGTTCTCACAGGGCTTGAGCTGCCCTTGTATCTCCCACATGCAGTGTGGAATCTGCCTCCACTGGCCACATGCCTAGTGGAAGTAATTGGATCTTTAGAAAATGAACGGGCTTTATTCCAGCAATTTGTAGTCTTTTTTCTGAATCCAGACATATGCAGCTTTTTTGCTGCTCAAATAATTAGTTTTTATACTTCATTAATACTTAAAATGTCTTCTGAATATGCAACGTAATTGAACACCATATCTGAAAATGCAGGTATTGCTGGATAGCAGTGGCCAGAACATTGCCTTTCTAAATGTCTAAGTACTTTCCTGTTGGACAGCTGAGCCTTTCCCAAATGCATATTAAATTGAAGTTGTCTTTTTCCTTTTCTGAAGTATAGCAATGTAGGTACATGGGCTTACTGAATGAACAAAAAAGTGAAGATATACAAGGCAGCTTGTTCTGTTATGTTAGCATTTTTCTGTCTTACAATGTATAGTCACTGTACTTCTTGCTTAAATATTAATAATACAGTGAGTTTTTAAGATTCTTTGTGTAGACTTAATCACAGGCTTTTACTGGAATACTTAATTTGGTGGGATATAAATTGTAACAAATGACTGCTTGCAGACACCTGAATGAATTTGTGCTAATGGGAGGTCAAAACTTCTGCTACGTAAAGGGACCCAGAGATACCTTTACTGCAAAAAACTCTGGGAAAACACCTGTTTAACCTGGTCTGATCAACAGAGATGGACATGGAAAATGAAAAAAGATTCCCAACTGTTACATGTTACATATGGGTACAGCAGTGATAGCTGGTTCCCAGAGGCTTCTCTAAGTGTTCTGCAAGGATGCTGTTACCTCATTCCATACAGACCTTCTCATGCTGCTGAATCAGGAGATTAGCAGCTGCATCAAAATTACAGCTTTTTCTATTATTCTTCAGTCAACTGCAAGGTAGAAAGAGTCTTGAATTACCTTCAACAGACATAAAAAGACTATTGGTCAGACTGTTTGGAGATTTCTTCCTTTTTCATTAAATGATTTTGTTGTGTTTGTTTTCCTTTCTATTTAGGATAGCACAAAAAAGAAGAGGTCAAAGGAAGACTGTGAAAAAGAGAAGGTATTTTTATTCTTCAAATCCTTCAATCAGAACTGCATATTGCATACATAATAGATATTTCTTATTTTAATATTGAATGCCTCACTTTACATCTATGGAAATTTTCTGTCCAAACCCACACAGTCAGAAGGTATTCAGTGCACCCAATTTGAAGTAGAGGTTTAGTTGGATTGAGTTCCTGTTTTGGTAATTATTGTATGAAAACCACTGGATCTGTTCTTGTTACAAAGGTAAATTGGAACTGTATCTAATCTGCTATAGCAGATCAGCTGCATCCTTAGTGTTTTGGGGCTTACCTTTAGCTATCACATGGAGCTAAAAATGTGAGTGATTATATTTTCAGTGGCACACCTGGTAGGTTATTGACTTGCTATTGTAAATTAAGAAATATAAGCAGAGAATCTCTTTATCTAAGTGTAGTAATAATTATGGATAGTATACTTATGACAGCTTCAAAGAATTGGGGAGAAAAATATATTAACTTAAGAAAAATTACCTTATTCTGTCATTTTTCTAAGCATGAAAATCCTCTCTCCTACCCACCACCACACCATTTTGTACACTCATCCATTATCTTTAATAGAAACAATCTAATTGACTTCAGTTTTAGTTATTTGTACACTGTGGATAAGCCAAAAATGCTTTCAGAGTCCACCCTAGTCTTTCTCTCCAGTTACCTTTCTTTCTTATCACGTTGGCCTCTCCTGCTCTGGTCAGTAGTATTGATGTTGATATACAAACTCTCCATTGCATAAGGCAAAGGTACTGATTTCCCCCCTTGCTCCTGCTTCTATTTTACAGTGTTCATTTCCCATCTCATCTTTTTGAATGGCTTCTGTTTGAATACCAAGTATCTACCATGGTCCCTTACTGTAGCCCTACTTTCTTTCACACATCCTCTGAAAGGAAAGGGCACTTGGGGACTAGAGGTTTTCCTTCCCCTACCTGCAGATGCCCCATGTGTCAGATGGGCTGCATCCTGTACTTGGTCATGAGATTTTTTCAGAAGTTTCTGGTCTTAGAAACTGAGTGAGAGAAAGTACCTTCAGTCTTAGGAACACATTGCCTTGTCCAGAGCAAAGGAAGTGCAGGAAGCAGATAAGTAGCTCATCAGAACAATCTCACATAGCATCAGGATTTTAAAAAACTTATCTTTTAAATGCACTGGAGTGAAATATGATGTGTTGAAAGTACAGCTGGCAGGGACAGCTTGTTCTGGTTCAACACAAATACAGAGGTAAATTTTTCTTTCATGAACAAATCAAGAGTCTGAAGCTAAAGTGTTTGTATGTATATATTGAGACATCTTCAGTTACTATTACTTAAAAGTGGTGAAATGTTTTATTTTCCAATGCTTACTCCTCCATGTGTTATTATTTAAAATAAGAGACTGTTATTATCCCTCTTGCTTTCAGACAGTTGCTGTATCTTGGTAACAAGGAAAAGGAATATACAGAAAATTATTATTTTCACTAAAAGTTGATTTTAACAGTTTGGTATGGTAATTTGATGATGGTGATGGAATTAGTTTAATGTCACTAATATTTTAAAATATTTCACAACTTAGAGGTGATATTTCAATCTTAAATTTTAAGCAGAAGTTTTATAAAATGTGAAAAGTCTGACTTTACTCACAAATGTATTATTTTGTGTAGGAAGGTAAAAATCACCACAGGAAAAGGAAGAAGGCAGATCGTGGTGATGCACCTTTATCGTCAGAATCTGTATCTGAATCAGACCAGACAGAGGAGGTCAGTGTGAATCCTCAGTTTCAGATGTTACAGTGTTTGTAGCTTAGTGATTCATGAGCAAATCAATGAACTAGCTTAGATTTAATACATTGTTGCAACTGTTCTGCACTGTACAAGTGAATTGAAGAGTGCAGTGCACTTAAAGTTGTTTGTATTTTTCCTTTTAAAATAAACTTCTATGGATTGTTTAGAAGTCTAGCTTCTATCACCTAAGAGTAATTTTGAATTAATTTTCTTGAGAATCAACTTTTTATGGATACTACATTTGGTTTAATTTTCTTTAGGTGCAAGCGAAAAAGAAGAAAAGCAATGAGGAAAAAGAGAAAACAGCAAGTATCCCTCTTAATCATTCTGTAGTTTTAGGATATAAATACTCTGTACTTGGTCAATTTCCAGTTTCACATTTTTCACAAATACAAATGTTTCATAGCAATAGTCTACTGTTACATCTAAATGAAAAGTTTCTCTATTTACTTTCTCTGTTGTTGAATTAAAGAAGAATTTGCCACTCTTTTACCTATATACAACTTGAGCACTGTAGAACATATTTTATTCTGTATCAGCGGCTTAGAACTACTAATACCTGTGTGGTATCAAGTAGGGGAGCAGTTTGCCACACAGACAGACATCAGGGCTGTTCCTTCATTAGCATTGTGTGTAATTCCTTGCTAAGCCTTCTCTGCCACCATGGAAAGGGCCTTAGGACAAAACTGCTGCAGCATCTATGTCATTATAACTCTTCTCCCAACCAGAAAAAAAGCTGCCAGCAACTGGCTACTTTTCTCAATATTTTTTCTTTGTATCCTTTGGTGAAAGTGAGAGGAAGGTTCAGCAGTGATTTATATGGAATCCAGATTTAGCACATGTACCTGAGGTTCATTCCTCAGTTAGGAGTATAGTGGGTTTGGGATCCTAAATGCCCGTTTGAGATGTCTTTGTATCTGTCTCCCCTGTCAGCAGCAGTGTTCCTTATCAGGCATCTCAGCTGTCCACATGAGGTAGGGCAAAGGGAAGGTCTACATTAGTACCTAAAAATACAGGCATAGGTGTATCAGTGATACTCAGTACACATTTTTCCATAGAACTTGCTTGTTTTTTCAGACTCAAATGAACTGTTTGCCATAACATTTTTAGTGATTGCTTTTGGTCTTTTCATAAAAGATTTTTATGTGTAAGGAATATGTATAAAACAAAGCTTTAATACTGATTGTTTCATTTATGCAATGCCACACCTATTTGAGAATTTCAATTGAAATTCTGCTTTCAAAAAGACAAGATTGCATCTTTGAGCTTCCATATTACAGTGATCAGTGTACTACCTTTAGGACTGAATAGAGTAGGGTTAATTTGAGTGTATGTATATTTACAGCTGAGATCATAATTGTTTTATTTTAAACAAGGTACAAGTGATAGTCTAGCCAAGTGCAGTTGAGCTATTTAATTTTACACAGTGAACTTAAGCACTTACTTTAAAATCTGTAAAGATCCTGGTTATTCCCAAATCTGTTCCTACTGGTCAACACTTCCTTATTACTTTCTCAGTAATCTATAATGCTCTGAAAATAATTTAAAATATTAGGAAATGTAATAGTGACAGTGATCAGAGTGATCAAAATAGCCATACCATGGTGGAGATAAATTTAAATTGAAGACTGCTCATAATAGTGCAAATTGCCAGGTAAAGTATTTCTTTTTGTGATTTCTGAATAGGCTTCTGTAGAAATCTCTTTTGAAATGTCTTTCAAAAGATATCCTTTCTGGGTTCTCATTTTGCATTAGCAGAATGTAATAGATGGCAATTGTATTATACAATAACTTTGGTTTGTGTTTTTTTTTTTTTTTTTAGGATAAGACAAAAAAGAGAAAGAAGCACAAGAAACATGGTAAAAAGAAGAAAAAGAAGACTGCTGGTTCAAATTCAGATTCAGAATAATATTTTAAAACAACCGGAGACTATCAACAGAAGTGCAATGACTAAAGGAAACTTAAACTGTGAAATGACAGCAAACTTTACCAAACTGCATGAGTTTTCCTGTGTTTTAGAAATATTCCTAATCTCTCAGTAGCCGGCCAGATGCAGCTGTGCTGGGAAAGACCATTGTTATTGCCTGCTGCTTAATACACGAGGTACAACTTTGATAAGGTTTCAGTAAGCAGTGTTAGATGTTTGAGGCAATATGAGATGGTAGGCCACCTGAGGTGTAAAATATTGGAAAATAAGAGTTAAACTTTTTAGATAGTAAAAATAGTCTTTTAAAGCATTAGTCAAAGTCTTTATTTGTAAATCAGGACAAATTAAATCCCAAGTTCATCCTGCAGGTTAATATTATGCATAAACTACAAGCTGGTGTCTGCTAATGGAAAATTAATGATAACATTTAAAAGGCTGCCTTTGTAGAAATGTGTATCATCTGCCCCATTACCATCTCCATGCTTATGAGAAAGGGAATGCTTGGTTACCTGAATAGGGTGCCTTTGCCTTTGATTCTTGCTACTTTTAATCCATGCATCTTTGCATTCCTGGGAAGCTAGAGCTATTGCCGGCAGACTTTTCTGAATGAGCAGTTTTGAGCTTCCAAGCATGTGCTTCTGCATTAAGCAAGAGCAATGACATTTTGCAGTATAACTGACAGTCAAAACCTGAAAATTTTACCTCTGCTTTTTCAAAACAGCGATAGACCTTTGCTAATAAATATGCATATTTCATTTAATGTAATTTTGGTTTAATTGAAAATTTCTTGCAAACACTGGTAGCTTTCTTTGCATTATCTTTAGAATTGTTTTGCATGATTTGTACCATTTTTAAATTAACAAAATGCAGGTAATCATTTGTTGTAACCAGTTCTATGAATTACATTTCACATGCAGATTTTCATGTATGTATTTAGTTATAGTTAAGTTCATTGCTGTGTTTAAGTGCACACTTGCTGAAGTTATTTAGCATGTAAAAAGCAAGGTTTTGATACCTTAACAGCTTCATATTGAAGCTGATTTTACTCTGAGCAAGTTCAGTGGCAGATCTGTTATGTGACGTGTCTTGTTAGATAAAAAAACTACTGCCAGAATCTCATTAAAGATACTGTTTAAACAGTTTGTATTTATATTTTTGTACTTGAGGGCTACAGAATGTTGACCTAACTCATAAAGCTGTTTTACTTTAGTTTAGTTGCTTTAGATAACTGAAAAAAAGCTTTTTTAAATTAAATGTGCCCACAAGAAAACATGAGCAACCATTTGATTTTAGTTTACATGAAATTCTCACTACATCTTCCATTGAAATACTGATTGCTGGGCCTTCTGTTAGCCTTTAACAAATGCCCATCCATCCCAGGTAGTCAAATATAGATTGTATTTTTGATCTATCCCTTTTTTCCATTGCACAGGTGCTAACTTAGAACTTACCTCTATTGCATATGATGTTTCAAATGTTGTGTTGCCAAGAATTTCAGGACTTTCAAGACATTATTAGTCTGCAAACCATAACTAAAACCTGTGGGAGAAAGGTGATTTCATATTGCCATTGTACAGAGAAATTGTCTTCAAGTTCTTGGGGGAATACAACCATTGAGTTGCAGCAATGTGCATCTAAACAATAGTAATATTTTCATCAACTATTTTATACTCTTGGGCTTGATGTTACCAATTCTAAACACTCTAGTCAGTGAGGTTAAAATAAAGGTGATATGCAGTGAACAGAGGGGTTTGATTTGGGGTTTGTGTTTAGTTTTGTTGGGGTTGTTTTAAGTTGTGGTGTTGCAGTTATGGTAAAAGAACCTGTAATGAACCATAGCATAAATGCTCTGTCCTGTGTGATACCTTTTTTGACTTTTACACAACCACCTGCCACAGAAAGAAATAAAAATGGAAATGAGACCCAGTCTTCCAAATACCTAAGCTGGTATGTAATTTTAATTGTGTGACTGTAACGATCTGTTCTGCTCAGCTGTAGGCTTGGAGTGCTGCTGTCATGCTCGGGAAGGGGTGTAGCCGCTTAAGGGGCTTATGGGCTTTGTCAGTTCCCAACAAAGCTGCTTTAGTACTGAAAGGGAACTGCTTCAGTTTGCAATACATTAACAAATACGTTTAGTCGAGTCTTGCATGCCCTTTTTCCTGAAGGAAAGGTGGAGGATGGTCTCAGCCTTTCAGCTTTCCCCATGTGCCCACGCCGAGGTTGTGAGACAGTGATGGGGGTTTGGGGTGGCACCTACACCCATATTCCAAGTTTCAGCAGAGGGACAAAGTAGAAAACGAGCAATGTCGCATTTAGAGTGGTTTAATATATTTTCGCCTTCTGACAGAAGATGAACAAGCACTATTGTATTTATAACTTTTAGCTGTTTTTCCCTACAAATATTTTTAGAAATTTGAAATGCAGTTCTTTTATTTTTTACGACTGTGTTTTTTTTGAATGCGTGTTAGCACTCGATCTCTGTTGTGCCTCTGCGTGTGTTTATGTCCGACTCGCCCGTGCGGCCCAGCGGCACCGCCAGGCCGCGGCCGCCCCCCCGCGTTGCCAGGGCAGCGGCGGCGGGAGCGGCTCCGGGCCGCCATGAGCAGGAAGGGGAGAAAGCTCCTGGTGGACTCGCTGACCCGATCCGCCAAGCACTGTGAGTCTCCCCGGGCTGCAGGAGCCGCCCGGCCGCCCCCCGTTCTTCCCGTGCTCGTCCTGCGTCGTCCTGTTCGCCTCCCATGGGAGGCGTTTTCCCGGCGCCCCCTTAGGAACAGCGGTTGGGGCCGAGGGGTGCTATTGGTGTCACGGCCCTGGCGTGTTCTGTGCCTGCCTCGTGTTTTACCAGCTTAACTTACAATCTGTGTTTGCTTGTGTTTGGACCGGGCAGTTACCAAAAGCGAAGTGGAATGTCTGATCAAGCTCTTCGACACGCTGGTGGCCAAGGCCAGCAGCCAGTTTGCTGGGGCCGGCTTCGACCGCACCGTGTTCCGAGACACGCTGTACAACGCCTTTGGCATGACGGATGACGTGGTGCTGGACCGAGGTGAGGCGGGCACGCAGCTCTGAGCGCCGGGCAAGGGGTTGGGATGGCGCTGCCGACCCGACGAGTGTGTCCGTACCAAACAGCGCCGTCTTGTCCCAGGACAGCAAAGGAGCTGTTGGGAAAATGGCATCTTTTCTTTCTTTATGCGTTACAGTTTCCCCTTAGGTCAGGAGAGCTCACGCCCTAGTTCGAGGCAGAGCAGCCAGAGGCTGTTGTGCTGCCCTGTGGCTGTTTCTGTCGCAGTCTCTGTAGGGTCGTGACGGAGGAGGGCAGTGTCACTTTCCTCTTCTCTCCGGTGGTCCCAGTGGGAGCTGCGGTCGCTGCTGGGCGACAGCTCTAGCTCAGGCCTGGAAGTCCCAGGAAGGCATTGTGATAACAGCGGGTAACTCTGGGAATAGAGGCTCTGTGAACAGCATTGAAGGGCCTGGGCAGATAGTACAAGGAGGTAAGAGCAATGAGCCAGATAACCCCTTGAAGATACAGTGATCGCACAGATTGGTAACAAGGGACATATTTGGAGTCACCGTGAAAGTTGAAGGAATGATCTCTAATGGAGAGGTGTCTAGAGGAGTATGCAGAGCAGGCATGAGTCTGCCCTTCTTTCAGTCTTGGGCTGCCAAGAGCCAGCCCTTGGTTCAACTTTCTCCATGTCTCTAGCGGGAGAGCTACTTACATGCCATAAAATAAAAACTTGTTGCAATTACCTTACATATTCTTAAAAATTATTTTAATGCTTACATGCAAAGGAGCTGATTTCAGTTTGCAAAAGCAAACCTGTTGTCTTCTAAGTCAAAAATGCTTGGCTCTGCATGGAGAGATGTTCCTTCAGCCAAGTTACTAATTAATATTCTAAAATACAAATTATTACAAATGCTAGTGGATGCTTTGAAATCCTTGGTTTTGAATTACTATATTACAGGCTGTATGAATAATGAAGCTGTGAGATTGAAAGTTGCTTAGGGAAGAGAAAAAAAAATTTGTTACATGACAGAAAAGAGGTTATTTTTCTTTGTAGATTTAATATATATTGTTTCTATGTTTACTTTGTCCAAGATTTCCTGAGACAAAACCTAGTAATTTAAATCTTAATCTGTATGCAGAATTATCCCTTATTTTAAGGGATGTCAGATTATTTGCTTTACATCTGCATGGAAGCATACTTCCTGTAGTTGTTTAAGTCAGGGAGGCAACAGATCAGACCAAATCTTACCAGGCAGGATTCTGGAGAGGAAGATCAGTAAACTGAGGGGCAGAATCCCTTTCATTGTTACATCTTAGAGTCAAGAATGGTAATCTTACCTTGGTGAAAGACAATCATCTTAAGAAGAAAGATAATTTATAATTTCACTGAATTTAGGAAAACATTGCTTTTTTGTGTTTCCCTATCATATGAATTTGAAATGTGTCTGATACACTTCCTAGTGTTCAGCACTTTTGATAGAGACAACACTGGCTGCATCACTGTGGAGGAATGGGTGGAAGGCTTAGCAGTGTTACTTCGAGGGACACTGGAAGAGAAGATGAAATGTAAGATTGATCTGTATACTAATATTTAGTAGTAATGATTGAATTCATAACAAATAACACATTGCTTTTGTTATAATTTAGTAGTTACTCTTAGTAACTATTTATTACTTAGTAAGTATTTGGTAATGGAAAATTTTTCTTCTGTATCGTTTAATGCAATGAAACTGAGTTCTGAAATGGCTTCTCTGAGAGTTTTTTTCTGTGTAAACTGCTGTTACCACAGCCACCACCTTTTTTGTTGCTTACAAAATCTTGCATTTAAACTGAAGTTTATTCTACAGCATACATTTTCAACAAAATACGTGTTTTTGTATTCACAAACAAAATTAGAAAGAAGCAGATGAATCTCTAGTGTGGTTTTGGCTAATTAATAGTCTCGAGCCAAGCAAGACCAGTACCAACATTGATTTACTGGCACAGTGGGGACACAGTAGCAGTTGCATTAGCTCCAGCAGTTCTTCAGGTTGGAAGCACAGATGGAAAAACTGCAAGATGGTAATGAGAGCCTCCACAGTAATGAGAGAAAGATAGAGGAGAAAAAATAGCAAGAACACTAGAATTTTAAGCAGCAGGGGAAAAAATAGGGCATGTGGGGTGAAAAAAAAACAATAGAAAAAGGAGAATGACAGCATGTTGTTTCCATAGCTCCTAGGTTGCAGCATTAGCAATCCTACAGCATTATATAAATTCATCTGGAAAGTGGTCAGGGGTGTCACACCATTAGGATGTGTGCCCAGGTTGTAATTCAGTGTGTCAGTAAACCACAAACAGTAAAATAGGCATTCCTGCTGTAAGCACCACAGAAGATACTAGTGCATAGTGATGCAGTGCTGTCACAAGTGTTTGCCAGGAGTGTTTCAGCATATATATGATAAATTTGGCTCAGTTGATAATGTACAGTTCACATTTTTTGTCTGTAGGTAACAGCTTGAATGCTATGTGTTTGTAGTTTGTAATCAACTTGAAATTTATTTGTATTTCAAAAGACTGTTTTGCCATTTATGACCTGAATGGTGATGGATACATTTCGAAAGAGGAAATGTTTCAAATGCTGAAACACAGCCTTCTCATACAACCAGCAGATGAAGAGCCTGATGAGGGAGTTAAGGACTTGGTAGAGATAGCACTGAAGAAAATGGCAAGTACTTACTTATTGTGATATTTGAAGTCTTTCAAACATTCACTAACCGATACTTAAAACCTTTCTATGAGGTAACAAAGTAAGATATCGTGTTTAAAGTAGGATTCTGCAAGTCTCCTGAGGAAAGCCAGAAATATAATCCAGGTCTAATAAATCCCAGCCCAGTATTCTCATATGAAATCATTAATTTAGTATGTGAATGTACTATAAAGTTTATGTATAAACTGGCATGTGTTTATGTGCATATACATCTGTGCATGCCCAGTCAAAGCAAAAGCCCAGTCAGAAGTGGAAAACTCAAAAGTGTAAGCTGCATTTATTCCATCAGTACAGGCATCTGCAGAAACTTCATTTTTAAGTACATTTGTGTTTTATCAACTGATCATGAAATGTCTTTATCCAATTTGTTTGTATGTATTCTATTAGAATACTAAACTCAAGGTTATTAATGTAAGGCTTGTCTTACAGTGCTTAATCTAGAATATCAGAGCAGCCGGGGACTGTCTGTCAATATTTTAATCAAATCGAGATATATACTCTCCCCTTCCATGGTGGTGGTCAAAAATTTTCACTTCAAACCAGGGCTTGCATCCCAACTCCTTTTATTTAAGCCCATCTTTTCAATTTTTCAATCCCACCCTTTTTGCCTTAAGTAGAGGCAAGACACTCTCATCCTTTCTGAGCTTAAACTGATAACCCCCAATTCGCAAATCTAACTAAAAATAGAATCCATGTTCTTTAAACATCTGTTAAACAAAACTACAAGTAATAATCCTTTACTGAAGTGTTCCCTTCCTTTTGCAGGACTATGATCATGATGGCAAACTTTCTTTTACGGACTTTGAAAAAGCAGTCAGAGATGAAAACCTTCTCTTAGAAGCCTTTGGACCATGTTTGCCAGACATAAAGGTACATTACACTTGGGTTCAAAAAAACTGCACGAGCCAATTCCTTACAGACACTTGCACCAATCCTGTGAATGTCAGAGTATCTTAGGCCAATGTTGGGCTCATCCTGTCAGTGCCAGTTCTGCTATCCAGAGGGGGCCCCTAAGCACTCCTACTCCAGGGTTGTTGCAACACAATACTGCAGATATTAATCTCACCACTAAGGGAAATTTCAGTCCTGTACATTGTCATCCCAGTCTCTAGCATTCCTGTTTTCATCCAGTTTATTTCACTCCGCAGCTGGGCCTTCTTGCCCTCCATGCCAGATCATTCCTTGGTGACACACCCCTACTGCTGAGCAGTTAAAATTTTCATTTCTCCTTCAGCTACAACTTTGAATTCTGGCTGGTCTGCCAGTGATGACACCATTAACGCTATGGATTTACCTTTTCTAAGCTAAAAAGCAAAAGACATTCTTCACTGCATACGCATTTCAGTTCATACCTTTCAGTTCAGGACCTTTTCTGACTAAATAGAAATCCTTTAGTTAACTGAAAATTAACTTGCTGTTGTTTTCTTTTTTTTTTTGTTTTGTTTTTTTAACAGAGCAGAATGGCATTTGAGCAGAAAATTTTCCGGGAAACTCCTAAATAGTAACTCCAAGTTGTAGCTCCACTGCTGAATACTATTAAAAGGGGTCGTGGTCTTCACCATTTCTTCGTCATATAGTAAAAACAGTCATATTTCAAGTTGCTCCTAAGCTTCAGTATTCCTTTGCTGTTAAAGCTGTTGAATAAATGAATTTACTTCTGTAACTCTACCTTTGCTCCTAAGCTTCCGTATTCCTTTGCTGTTAAAGCTGTTGAATAAATGAATTTACTTCTGTTACTGTACCTAAATAGAGTTCTTCTGTTATATTCATATATTCTGTTCATATTATAAAATATGTTACAATATGAGGTACGCAGGACAACACTGCAACAATAATACAATATATTGGTTTCTTCATTCCAAGTAACAAAATGATACCATTTTAAACAGGGAATCACTAGGAAACAGAGTATAAAGAAAGTTTTATTTTTTAAATTAAAAAATACATATTTTAAACTATATTCTTTACAAAAGGACTGTTGGAAGATGCTGCCAGCAGTATCTATATTCTTCTTCTCTGCTTTACAACTGGTTTGGCTGAGCTGCTCTCTGGCTTTTCCACAGATGTTGAAACAGAATCTGCTACCTAAATTGGAGGGGAAAAAAATTTAGTAACCTGTAACCATTACTTTTTTATGCTCATTTTAGAGTAAGGCCACATCTCCAAGATTTGAGTATTGGGAGCCATTTATTACTATCATCACACTTGTATTGAATTTTCCTGCTGACTAGAGGAAGAAAGTAACACCAAAGGCAGCATTAAACACAAGAGAGGTGAAACTTAGAAGATTCAGCACTACCATTTTTGTATTTAACTACACAAACTGATTTCAGATAGTCAGTGATACAGTATTACATATGTCATCTCCCTTCTTCCTAACAGGTGTTTTTAAGCAAGTTTTAATGTGCTTTATAAACTCAGCTATTTCAGGAAACAAAGGAATAGCAGAAACCTGCATTTTGACATGTATTTTAGGAAGGTATTTAATATAAAGGGTACTAATTTATAAGATATGCACTTGCAAATCAATCTAGTCAGTCAAGGGAGCTTTTTCATATCTTAATGAAATGTTGTATCAGGGATGTCTGACCTGCTAATTGATTAATATTCTCCATAAAATGATACATAACTTAACATGTGCTTCTCAGCATGGAATTAATGATTCTGTACAGCTTTTAATGGCATAAGAAATGTTGGAGCAAAATTACACTGAACTCTGACTTCCATTTTTTTCCTTTCAGAAACCAGATACAAGTAGCACACTGGAGTGAGCAGGACTACCTGCAAAATGATCATGCTTTCACATGTGGGAAAAAAAGTGGTTTACAAAAAATCACATAAGAACATGCACTGACATTTGCACTTTCTCAAGTGTAGTGTAAGAGGTCTGGAGTAGAATTGCCTGCAATATTCTAGATTGTGGAGAAGTTAAATAGTAAGAGCACTAGCTTTAAGTGGCAGATAATGAGTAAATGCTGAATAAAGCTATCAAATAGTCACTATTTTTATGTATAACAAGCACCTATGTTTGAACTATCAGAACTTTAAGAACCCATACCTCTTTCAGTTTATTTCGAATTAATGTAGCTGAAGTATTTAAAGACTCATCATCCATATCCACTTTAGGTATTTCTGGTAGTTGTGGACCAATAACAACTTCAGTATTGTCCTCACTTGTTCCAATGAGGGAAAACTTGTTACCTTCTTCTCTCTTCCTCTTACGTTCTTGTAGGTGAGTTGTACGAGGCATAAACCTGTCAATTCCATTGCAAGCTGGAACCTTTCTGTGCTGCATTAAGGAAGCTGGTGGAGTGCACACTCCTGGATGTACATTTGGAGTTAAAGATGTGTTTTGACCAAAGTACCCAGAAATTTCAGCACAATTGTTATCATAGTGTGGAGGTGTTAACAGGCTCTGATTCTGATTCCCAGCTGGATATGCTGTGTTGTGGGATACCCCAGGAGAACTTGTAAAGCAGGATGGATCCCAGTTACTGGCTATACTTGATCCTGATGTACTCCATGGACAGTCATGCTCAGAGTTATTTGAGGCTGTCTTCTTAGGGCCTTCTACTTTCTTTAACATAAAGCAATCTTTAAAACAACAAAAAAGAAGCACCTTCACTATTTCATGTAATTATTAGTTCTAATACCCAAGAACAAAACTTTTGATATAAATGCAGAAACAATACCAGTGATATTTGATTCCCAACTACCCTTCTGTGATTATTTTTAAGCTTCAAATATAACAAATTCAACTTTCAAATCAGTTTCCAATCTAGTGCCTTGCTGGTTTATAACATTTAAAAAACCCAGATGTTTTGATGTTAAAAATCAGTGGGTTTACTCCCTTTAGAAATCCTCAGACAATGAATAATGATACCCAAGTATGTGAGCACAAGAAAGGAGAAGCTTGTGCTCAGCAATTTGCTTATTCCTCAGCTTGCCCAGCCTTCAGCGCTGACTGGGAACTCTGTGGTACAGGAGCCTTTCTAAACACAGTCCATTCTTAACGTTCCCCAGTGCAAAGATGTGGGCTGGAGAAATTTTTTTGAAGGTTTTAGTATAGTCATATTCCTTCCAAAACTGTCCCTTTGGCATGCCTGAAGAGGCTGGAACAAGGGTGAAATCCCAAATTTCCTGCCAGTGCTTTAAATTTCTGGTAACATTTTGAAAGAAAACAAAAAGTGAAGGAAATACTTAATTATTAAAGCTTAATAATTTCATTATTTTAGTCTTAATCAAAGCCAAAAAATTACTTTGAAAAGGATATAGTTCTCTACATACTGAGAGATGTCTCCCTGTAAACGTACTTAAAATGCATCTGTATTGGGTTTGCATGGCCTGTTTTTTTGTAGTGGGGGGGCTACAGGGTTGGCTTTTTTGAGAAGCTGCCGAATCTTTCACCATGTCTGGAAGAGTCAATCCCTGGTGACTCCAAAGATGGATGTGCTGCTGGGCAAGGCCAGGCCAATGAGAAATGGTGGTAACACCTCTGTGCTAACAGATTTAAGGAAGAAAATAAACAAGGAGTGGTTGCACATTTGTAACTATGGCCAGAGAAGAGCAGAGCGGGACCGTGAGAGGAGCAGCCCTCAGACACCGAGGGCAGCGCAGGAGGGGCAGGAGCTGCTCCAGGCGCCGGGGCCGAGATTCCCCTCAGGCCGTGGGGCAGGCAGGGGGCAGCAGCTGTGCCCCTGCAGCCCATGGAGGCCACGGGGATGCAGGGATCCACCACAGCCCCTGCGGGAGCCCCAGCCCGGAGCACGTGGATGCCTGGGAGGAGGCTGTGATCCTGTGGGAGACTCCTGGAGAGGGCTGGAGCAGCCTGTCCTTGAAGGACTGCACCCCGTGGAGGAGTGACCCACACTGCAGCAGCCTGGGGAGGGCTGTTCCCCACGGGATGGACTCACACTGCAGCAGCCTGGGGAGGGCTGTTCCCCATGGGATGGACTCACACTGCAGCAGCCTGGGGAGGGCTGTTCCCCATGGGATGGACTCACACTGCAGCAGCCTGGGGAGGGCTGTTCCCCATGGGATGGACTCACACTGCAGCAGTCACAGGGAGCTGCTGCTCGTGAGATGAGCTCACATTGGAGAGGTTCACAGAGAACTGTCTCCTGTGCCACCCCACGGTGCAGCAGGGGAATGACTCCTCTCCCTGGGCAGCAGGAAAAGCCATGGATCATGAACTGACCACAAAGCCCATTCCCTGTCCCCTTGCACTGCTGGGGTAGGGGGTAGAGCTGAGAAGGGAGGAAGGTGTTTATAAAGGCTTATTTTACTTCTCATTATCCTGCTCTGATCTTGTTAGTAATAAATTCACTTTATGTCACCAAGTAGAGCCTGTTTTGCCTTGATGGTATTTGATGAGCGATCTCTCTCCTGGACCTTATCTCAACCCATGAACCATTTGTTAAATTTTCCCTCCTCTGTCCAGTTTGTGGAGGGCAATGAGCGAGCAGCTTTGGTGGGTGCCTGGTATCTGGCCACTATCAATACACTATAGCAGCTTTAAAAGACGTAGGTAAAAAGTGTTTTCTTTAACGAGCACTTTAGCCAAAACCCCACCCAATCCTGAAGAACATTAAAATTTTACAGGAAATTTAGTCAGGATTCTATAGGAAATTTAACCACAAACCTCTTTGATTTGTTGCTTTTGCTATATACTTTCTTCTATCCTGCAACTTCTCTCGAGTTTCTTGGACTGTTTCAAATTCTGGAGCATAGCACACATGCAGCAAACTACCAAAGAAACTTCGTTCATCCATTTTTTTCTTGGCCACCCTGAAGGGAATTAAAGTCTGTCAACAAAACTGAGGATTTTACTCCAACTCTCTAGAAACTTAACACATTGCCAAGTACAGAAGGTGTAAAAGATTAAGACAGCAAGAGGCAGATATTGCCCTGTCCAATACCTTGCACATTGCAGTTTTTTGAATTTTATAAGGTACACTTCAGTAAACTGCTCTGCTGGATATTCATCTAGAGCATGATATTCCTCAATGGCACCATATAATGCAAATTGTTCCACTAATTCCTTCATAACACCTAATGCAGGAACTCCTTGTATCAGTATATAGCGAGATTCCAAGTTGATAGTGTAAACCTGAAAAAAACAAAAACAAAGACTATTCAAAAACATTCCCATTCTTGCTTTATTGCAAAAGGCACACATTTTCTCCATGTTTTCTGTTTTTCTCCAAATCCTCTCAGGATGCTGAAAACCCTTATGTACTCTGTTTTGCAGAACAGTAAAATGCATGGTTATTTGGGACCTCTTCATCACTGAGCAAGAGCTGAACTCGTGCCTCTAATGCATAGTAAAACACAGATGAGACTTGGCTTTTCTGCACAAGGTAAGAGTACTAATGCCAATTGCTGAGTAAAATCTCTTATGTCTCTGGCCAACTTCCATGCAAGATGTACTAGTAACCAGTTCATAGGAGGTACTGCCAAAATACAGAAAAAAACCCTGAAAAATTAGTCTTCTTCACTGGCAAAGAAGTCATGCAGGTGAGGAAAACTGCTTTTTTCCACACAGGGAGTTAAAAAACAATTACCACAATTCCCTGGTGCAAATCCTGTGTGTGCAGAGCTGTCTCCTTGCCATGGTGATCCAACAGCATACATTTTTATGACACAGATACAATCTGGATGCTGAGAGAAACAAGGTCTTCTTCCAGCAGATTAAAAACCAGACCAACCATTCTCTTCTGCTTTGTGTAGTGACTGTCACATAACAGACTCTAATGGCTCACACTATGTACATTAGGCAGCCAGACAGCTTATCCCTGAGATCAAAGGAAATTTATTCTGAGTTAAAAAAAAAACAACAACCCAAGCCACAAACATTTAGACTGCACAAGTTACACATATTTCTTAAAAAAACATATTCTGGACAAAGCGGGAACTGCTTGGGAAATCAGCTCTCAAACTTCTGCTATAAAAAAGTCTCCACAGGCAGGTCACATAAGTTTTCTTGTGGCAGCAGCACACTCCCACCTACATTCTTTTGGGAACAAGGGATTGAAGGAAACCGATTCTTTCACTGTGCAGTTTTTTGTTGGTTTTTTTGGAAGGTTTGTCCTTCTACTTCTTTCTCGTCCGGGAAGAAAAGATTCAAATAAGGTTTTTTCCACACTTGGGACATCCATACTGTTTCTCCTGCATGTATCCTCCAGTGCCCAGTGATGGGTAGATGCCTGTGCTGACCAGAGCTCTGTAGATGCACAAGGCTCTCTGTCCTCTGGCCCACTGTGTACACTTGGAAGAATAAAAGAACTTTATGAAGACTTTGAGACTTCATGAAGTACGGAGGGTTTGACATTCTACGGGAAGGTGGTGGTAGTGAAAGAGATGTGCCTTATGTGCGTGGGCACAGAGTAACCATTGTTCCGGCCCCGGTGAGACCACACCTCAAATGCTGGGTTCAGCTCAGGGCCTCTCTCCAAGACACGGAGGTGCCGGAGCACGTCCAGAGAAGGGCAGCAGAGCTGGTGGAGGGTCACAGGTCTGATGAGGAACACCCTCAGCGAGCTGCGAGGGCTCAGCTTGGAAAACAGGTGGTTCAGAGAGTCCTTATCGCTCTCTGCAACTCCCTGACAAGAGGCTGAAAACAGATGCGGGTTGGACTTTATGATCTTAAAGGTCTTTTCCAAACTAAGCGCTTCCTTTCTCACGCCAGCCCTTTAAGGTGCCGCTACAGCTCGTTGCACACTGAGCGCACACAGACATACCCCAGTCTCGCAGTTCCGCTGCAGTAACGAGAAGCTCCTGCCGCGCAGCAGACGAAGCCCAGGGCCCCTCTCTCTCTCTCCCGGGGATCGCAGCGTAGGCCCGGCCGCCCCCCAGCCCCTCACCCGCAGCGGCTCCGCCCGACACCGCCCTCCCACACAGACACAGACAGACACAGACAGACACACAATGACAGACAGACACAGACACAGCACCTTGACGGCGCGCGGCCGCCACCCTTCGCGGTACTTGGCGCGCGACTCGCAGGCTCCCAGCTGCGCATGGTGCCGGCACGGAGCGCCCGGGCCACCGCTGCTGCCAGCCGCCATCTTCCCATCGCCCCCCGCGACGCACAACCCCCATTGGCTCGCTCCGTGCGGCGGGGAGGAGGAGCCGCGGTCCGCAGCCAAGGAGCCAATCAGAGGCGGGCAGCGGGGAAATGCCGCGCCCGCATTGGCCGGCAGTGGGTTGTACCACTGCCCCGGGGGTGACGGGAGCATTACCCCCCGCGCCCGACCCGGGTAGGCGGGCCCGTGCCCGGGCGGAGCGGGCGCGCAGGGCCGGCCGGCAGTGGCGGCGGCCATGTGGGGCTGTGGCGACCCCGGTGGCGCCGCCGCCGCCGCTACCACTGTCCTGAGCGGGACCCGCGACTGTTTCCTGCACCTGCCGCCCGCGCTGGCCTCGCTCCTCCGCCTGCAGCAGGTACCGGGGCGGCGCCGCTCGGGGCCCGGGCGCAGGGACACCTCAGGCAGGCAGGGAGGATTACGTGAGCGCCCCCCCGCATTCTGTCACCATGGCGATACCGAGCCCTCCTCCCTCACGACTCAGCCCGTCCCGCAACCGGGACCCCTCACAGGGAGACGTCGGGGAACCCCTCCTTCCCTCCCTTCCTGCCTGGCCCAGTATCCTCATCAATTCCTAATAAAAGGCGGGAGTTTTTCTTCCCCAACGTGGTCTGGCAGTGTGGGCATCTGCGTCTCTATCATCACTCCCTAATTCATACCAGTTTTCCCCGTACCCTGCTAGCATTAAGCGAATAATGTGTAAATGTTTAATTCAGGTGGGAGAAGAGGTGACAAATCCATGCTTTTTGCTGTACCTCCTTTTTGCTGTACACAAATAAAATATGTCACTATAGAAATTCCCGTCATGCAGAGCCCTGCTGAAGACGCGGGGTCAGCTCCGGGGAGTGCACCTTACAGTATAAATAATATTTCACACGTGGAAACGGGAGCAGAGACACTGTGTGCCTCTTGTGCCATGCTCGCAGAGCTGAGTGCCAGCAGGACAGGGTGGAAAAGGGCAGGAATGAGCCCAGAAGGATGCGAGCAAAGCTCAGGAGAGCTGGCACAGCCCCCCTGGGCCGAGCAGGCCTCCCTCGCGTGGGTAACCTCCTGCTCTCAAGGCCAAAAAGGGCATTTCACAACAGGAGAACAACATAGGCGTGTAAAACCTGCCCGTTCACCTTTGGGGTAGTCGTAGGAGGTTGGTGGAATTGGAAGAAATGCAGTATTAAATGTGAGCTTCATTTCAGCTGCAGTTTCTGAATGTTTTACAGATCTGCTGTCAAGAGAGAGAAGAAAGGAGTGCAGTTGCTTTGAAGTCTTACAGTGTCATTCTGTTCACTGTTTGTTATGGTGGACTCCTCCTTTTGTTTAACCTGCTAAATTAAAAGATAGGCTCTCAGAAAACTTGATAGAAATAGTATCTTAAATACATCTCATGAATAAAAATGTTTAAAAGGGGATAAATTATTCCATTCCAAAAGCTGAATCTAATTGCAGAAGATATTAGAAAAGTTCTTCAGTTTGACATCAAAATACATGAGCAGTTCTGAAACAGATTGATTAAATCATTTTTGTCTGAGTTAATGTGATTTTTGACTTATTCTAAATATGTCACAGAAGCACTCTTGGAGACCATGTAAATGTTATAATTTTCATGAAATCAAAGTGTACGTTTATTTATTTTCCTCATTTGGGAAATGCAAACATGCGGTTACACATTTCTGTAAAATATTTTTTGATATCTCATCATGCAGAAGAAAGAAAAAAGAATTAATTTTCCTACTTAAAAATAGTCCATAAAAATGGAAAGCTGTTTAAGAATTTAAACCAGCACTCAGTTCTATGGTGAGAGCTGTGCAAACAAGGTGTAAAATCCAGATAATAGCTTAATTCCTTTGATCTCTCTAATCAAATACGGTTTAGGTTGTCTAGTAGTCATCTCACTTAGATGGTTTTATACCAATTTGTTTTCTTTTCTTAAAACTCATAGGGCCAAGCTGTGAAAATATCCTGTGGTCATCAGCCAGTATTTTTGAGCTGGATGGAAACCAGGCATCGAGGTCACCAGGGTGAAAATATTGCAGAGATTAACAGACATTTGGCAGAGAAACTTGGCATCACAGATGGAGAACAGGTTTGAAGTGCTACCTTAGTTTTCTATTTAAATAAAGATTATATAGGAAGAAAAGTGAAAAGATAATTTTACATGAGTTAGCTATGACCTTGTTTCATGTATTTAGACAGTTTCTTCATTTACCTCTGCTCATGAGAAAAATTAACTATCATGAAATATCTCGAATATGAAAAGATTGGCTCATCAAACCATTAACATTTGCCTAAACAATGTTAGGATAGGCTTCTGGGTAGGTCTTTGCCGGGCTGTAACAACTGTCTTCAGTGACATTAATTTTCAGAAAATGCACTTTTAAGCAATTGAAAAACTTGGAATGGGAATATTTGATTTGGAACTCTTGTAATTTTAAAGTAGCTATTGACTTTCTGCATGTTCTTGTTTAACTTCCTTGGGGTTTAGACTTTCATCCCTTTTTCACCCCTTCACCATATATCCCTTTCTCTTTGAATAATTGTATTCACCTCTTATGGATATATCTGTCTGTCTGTCTGTTTATCTGTCTACTCTTTGTACATTCATCTCTTACTCCTGAACACTATTAAACTTCTCATAAATGACTCTTTCATTGAGCAGAAGTTAGAGATGCCCAAGAGGCAGACAGAGTTTTCTGACATGGAACTACTAAAATCACAAAATCAAAGGATTTTTTTTTCTATTACTAGGTCTTTCAGAATGCATTAACCAAACAAGACATTTAACCAAACAAGAATAAAAAAGTACTGCTTTACACAGTGTCATTTTGTAGTATATTCATATTTGCCTATTCTCTTGTATACAAAATTTTGTTCAACATCATAGAAGACATCAAAGAGTGTGACTCAGAGCAGTGTATTATCTTACTTTGTTTACTTTTTAAACATATTTTCTCTAGAAATTATGTGTCTGTTTGCATAAATTTCCAGTTTAGTAGTTGAGAAACCAGGCATCTACCCTTTTTATTTCTAGCAACTAATAGCCTTCAACAGGAAAGCAATTGACAAAGGAAACCTAAGAAAACCTCACCCAGGTATTGCTGGGAATAATCATCTGTACAGTCAAATAAATACATGATTAAATAGTTTCACCATCGTTTTGGATTCAGGAATTACATGTTTGCTGTATGATCTTCTTTTTGCTGGGCTGGGGAAAAGATATTCCTCTCAATTATCGCTTCAAACTAAGGACATAGAGGATTTCAAAATGGATTGCTACTTTTATAAAAGGTGACCTAACGTAATTCTCTCAGAGAACAGGTAACTAGTTTTATATCAGGAAAAAAATTAGTAACGTTTCTTTGAAAATTAATTGCAAGATGTTGTATTTTTTTTTTTTTTGTCAAATAAAACCTAATGAAACCTTTGGCAAAAATTGACTTTTGAAGTCTGTATTTAATGCATTCTGAAAGACCTAAGCCACAACAGCTTTAACAGTCCTCCTGATTCACATGATACTAAAATTGTTGTGTGGAGATGGGGCTGCTTCCTATGAAACCATTCATTAAGGAGCTGGGCTTGCTTTTCTATTGTGCTTTTTTCCTTATTTTCAGCTGGTTCTAAATTTATGCACAAGTGAATTAATTTTTCCAACTTTTTAAAATCCTGGGGACTTAAAAATAAAGATTTAAAAATGGAAAGATGGTGATGTGATCAAGGTGTATTAAAAATGGATTGTTTGTTATCACCTGATAAACTCCTGATACTTTTAATATTCACTGCTTATTGATGTCTCTGAGCCTAATGGAATCCATTTCCCATCCATTGAGCATTCATCTGCTTATGAATTACCTGGTGTCTTCAGGATGGTGTGTGTTCCAAGTAGTGAAAACATACAGTGAAGGAGAAGTCAATTTTCTAGTTGAAATAAAGATGGAGGTTTTATATAAAAAATAAGGAGTTAAATATTTTGGTGTTACTTTTGCCAGGTGTTTCTTGAACCCTGTTCCCATGTGTCCTCCTGTCAGCAAGTAGAAGTGGAGCCACTCACAGCAGATGATTGGGAAATTCTGGTAATTAAACCCCTTCCATTGTTCGTATTCTTGTCTTACAGATGGCAGAGATTCTGACTCAAGCAGTTTTTTGCACAATGCCCCATTCCTTTCAGCCTCTAAGGAATACTAAATGTGGTGGAGTTTAGTTGTATTTTATATTTCAAATGGTGTATTAGAGAGAGACACACTTTTTTTTCCTTCAAACAGATGTTAAAAAGATATGCAGTATTTAATTTATGATGGTGTCACATTTCCCCAGGAACTGCACGCTTCCTCCCTTGAAAGACACCTTCTGGACCAGATTCGAGTGGTGTTTCCAGGAGCCATCTTTCCTGTCTGGGTTGAGCAGCACACCCATGTTTACATCAGAATCGGTAAGCAGCGCTCAAGGCTCTCGGAGCACCTCCAGGAAGCTGCTTTGCAGGGGTAGATGCATTCATTGGCATCTTTTGCTCATACTTAGGTACACTTGTGCCAGCAGCCCCATATGGGAGATTAGAGCCATGCACGGAGCTTCTGGTATGTCCCAAAACACATGGACCTGAGGAGAATATCACCAGCACACCTGCCACAGAAAGTGACATCTTGCTCAAAAATTTTGTGAAAA